ACAGGGGTGATGCCGGCCCCTCTTCAATACACAATTCTGAATCCAACTCGGGTAGTTGGCGAAAATACCTCAACTTATCATCGGATAAGGAGGAAAAGGCCGAGTCCGAAGCATCCACAGCCCGGGTCCCAGGCGAAAGCACTCATCAACCTACCGAGGTCATGAGCCAGGCGCAGCCTGGCTCTGAGGGCACACACCGTCCTCATCTGTCAAGCACAGCCTCTACCCCGTCGTCCTCTTTTTTCAGAGGACTTTCGGACGCGGCCCCCACACCTGAGCTTGGGGAGGAAGTGCAGCAAGTGAGCCCTACTCATTCCATCTCCCAAACGGATCTATGGAATGAAGTTTCCTCGTCGGCTCCAACCCCAGGTCAGGATAATCAACCGCCCCTGGTCGTCGAGCAACCCCCAGCCGCCGGTCCATCGGAACCCAGAAGGGACCTCAGTCATGTCCCCCCGAGGTCACCCCCCTCATCATCTCTCTCTGATCAAGAAGTCCTCAAACAATTCTTCTTGGAGGAGGGCGCTGCTGTTGAACAACAAGAACAGCCGGGGGTTCCTGAGGCGTTGCCGCTGGCGCCAGCACCGGCTGAAGACCCGGAGCTCATAACAACATCAATTATAACAAAAATGAAGCAACTTTACCCCAACGATCCATGGAATCCGGATAATCCATTAATCCGGGGGGAGAGGATTTTCGCCGGTGGAAAAGGAAAAAAAAATATCCGTCCAATGACGATCGAGGAATTGCAACATATTTTCGACCGCCTAGAGCGTGACGGGAAAAAAAGCAACTGGGCTAAGGAATTGCACAGGAGGATAGATACCTGGACGTGGCAAAATCCACGCGGCCCTTCTTAAATTAAATAAAAGGTATATAGCTGACCCTCCTTTCGCAACAAGGTAGCCGTAGGGGAACCTGTGGCTGGATTGAATCCCTCCCTATCCGAGATGTGCTCTTGAAAGATCTCCCTCGACAGCGCAGTTAGGTCTTAGAGAAGGAACTGATTTACCGCTCCGTGGGCTTTGCTGCTCCCTCATATATTTTAAAACCAGGACTAGTAATCATTCTTCCTCGAGTTCACGGAATAGCCCCATGATCTTAGTAGTAATTCTAGTACTTCTTCACGAAATTTGAGACTTTATGGAGCCAAGTACGAAACCAATCCGATGCGAGGTGTAACACAAGCTTGAGTATGATCTGATATGAGCCTTAGTTCGCGAAATATCCCTTTGCTCTAGCTAATGAATCCCCCACTCACTTTTTCTCGAAATAGATCTTGTTACTTGAAACAAAGCAGAATGAGACCCAGGGCCCTCTCTGGTTCACTTCATATATCCCGCTCGTTGACTGACTCGCTTAGCCATTTCTCCACCTGCCCGAACACTCGCTCCAGTAATGAGGGAAAGAGGTTAAAGAGAAAAAGATGATTGAATCCCCATGTCGTGGTCCCAGTGCCCAAAGCTCCGACTATTACTGACTTATCGGTTGATAGGATAGCAGGAAATTTTTCTGCTCCGAAAAGTTTTAGGTTGGGAAGGAAAAGGGGGAGAAGCTTTTCGAGGATAGCAAGAAAAAGGACATAGGTTCAAAAAGAAGGGAAGTACTAAGGTAAAGACTGCTGCTCTGATCCAGACCAGGTGTCGTTGGTTGAGCCTGACCCCGCTCATTTAACTATTGCCGATACCAGTTAGTTACGCATACTGTATACTCTCATCTCGTGTGCGATAGGGCGGCCGAGAAGCTTCTTGCTGTGCTGTCCGGTGCCCACCAAAGCATAGACTCTACTCACCCACTACTATACTATTCTAGGGCTGGTGAGACTATTCCACTACAAATTGATGGACTTACTAATTTGCTGACTGAGTCAAGGAGTTAAGACTGAAGGTTCGGTGATCGAGCGAAGATAGACGACAACTGGTTGCTCTATTGTACTCGCTTGTTTAGGGTAAGGGGCTACTCATTCCCAAACCAGTCAATCAGTCATCCCAAGAAAAGTCCTATACATAGCTAAAAACCGGGCGGGTTCCTAATACGCGAAGGATTTACTCTCTTTTTATGTAATTCTTTCAATCTAGAATATATTGCTCTAGCCTAGAAACACAAGGAGACATGATAACGAGGATCGCCGACGGAACGAAATCGAATGTCATCAAGCAATTCAAGGATTCCAGTTTCACAATGTGAAAAGCTTAAAAACTCCTTGCTTTTTCTTTTTCATCAAGGAATTATGTGTTCCCCTTTGGTTGGAGCGCTTTGCTTGACCTGATCGTTGTGCCAAGGGCTGGTGGTGCGTTGAGCAGCTCTGAGTTCCGTTTGCCGGGCCCCTGACGGTAGGCTATACAGCAGGCTAGAGACAACTACTGTGCGCTGCCAACAACTGCGATTCATTCTTGGCTCCCGCTAGTAGGGCTAAACAACTGGACCATTGAGTAACCGCTCTGTAAGACTACTGAACGACTAGTCCGTGGGGCTAGACCATTGTTCCACAGGGGATTCTTACTCCACTGCAGATACTGACCTTCTTTTCTTTCTTCGAGGAGCACAATCAACAGCACTTCCCCTTCATCGGAGCAAAAGCGGGCAAGGGAAGTCGCCGGGTACTACTCCAGGGTAGTTTACTTCCCCCTTACCCAACTGTGGGAGAAGAAGAATTTGGGAACCTCCTACGATTTGATGATTGCTTCAATCAAGAATGGGTTATGCATTCAATCATCGTGCCCTTCTATGAGCGAGGGAACCTATTCATTATATGGCCATCGCTACGAGATCGTCCGATAAAAAAAAATCACCCACGATAGGTGTCGAAATGGCGATTGAAGCCTCGAAAATAGCCAATGCGCTCATATCTAGAATTGCACAGAACCCCCTACCACTACCTTTTCGATAATAAAGAGAAAGCCCTCGACCAAGGGATTAACCCGAAATGCAGGATTCATGCCGCTGGCTGCCCACCTCTTTCGAGCCCAAGCGGAGCATCCACTATGAAAAACATGCTAAGGTCCAGAAGACACAGATTGAGGAGTTTAGTATTCGACTTATAAGGTTATCACATATCTGACCCGTTCAAGAGAAGAGATATGGAAAGAGGAGAGGTAAGGAGGAAGTTTACGCCCGACTTCCCAACTCGGACTTTTCTGCCTCGAACGAGACTTTATCCCCGAGGTAGGTCGGTAAAAAGAATCTCACTAGAAGTTCACATGCCAGAAGCACCCGTGGGGTAAAGAACGTTAAGATTGGATGGTTATAAAGCCAGTCCAGAAGACCAAGATCTGCACCTTTCAACACTGCAGCCTATTCAACAGAATTGGCCTGGCCGGAACCAGGCGCATAAAGCGTAGCAGATGAAAGCGATTCCCCGACTAGGCACTCAACCAATGCAGGAATGCCCCAAAAACTTGAATGGATTGATAGACTGAACCCTTGGCTTCCGACTGAACTTATAGAAGTTGGCTTGAGCTTGAATGAGCGTATCTTACAAAAAAGGTACCTTAGTCGCCCCGGTTGAATGCATTGAAGAAAGGAATCCGCTCTCAACCCTTTCATTTTTTTAATAGAATGGTAAGCCGGTCTTATTCTTTTATACGAGTAAACTACTGCTGCTCCAACTCCTTTACTTTAAGAAAAAGTGTTGCATCTCGCCCAACTCCTACAAACCCCACCCCCGAGGGAGAAAAGGAAGTTATTAGCACCGATTGAAGGTTACTAACCTTATGCTTCGCCAATCTTTATATGCCACGGGGAATCGATCGGTTGAATCCGTTGCAAGCCCATTTTCCGAACCCACCGTAGGAAACTAAAGGAGCTACTAAGTGAGGAAGCCCGATTTCGATAGGACTAAAGAGCACTAACTCGGAGATAAATCATTCAATAGCGGATAAGAATCGGGTTCATAGAATGGATCAGTTGCCCCAAAAAGAGGTGCCTAAACGGAACTAGGGTTCTTATGAGCAAGTATTGCAGACTGACAGCTTGAAATTCAAGGTAAGCAAAAAAGGGGAGGGCACTGGCACTGTGTTATGACGGGCATCCTTTCTCTCCTCCGCGACCGACCCTCCAGGGTGGAAAATCGGATCCCTTCAGATCTCTCCGCCAACCAGCCCTTTAGGAAACGAATCACACATCCTCTTTCATTCTATTTGACCTTTTTTTTATCTCATTCCCCGGAAACTTCAGTAGTTCTATTTCTACTTGACTGATTGATGATGGAGCGATTCATTCTCAAAAGTCCGGCGGGATAGAACTAATTCCTAGGATAACTTGAATATTCATATGGGATTTTTCGCTAAAAAGAGAACTAAGGGGATGGAGAAGAAGAAGAACAAAGAGTTTTTGCCGCTGAGAAAAGGAAGCAAGCCCTCGATTCCTATGTTTTCTTTTCGACGAAGCTTCAAGCCAGATCAGCTCCTATCTTTATTGAATCCCCATATTGCCCGTGCCGCCCAATCTAGCTGTATATCTTAGCTCGAATCGATCTCATTCTATAGAAGACCTATCCTTACACGGTTAGTAAACCACCCACATGCAACAAATGTTGTGTGGCCTTACCGAACTGGAGGAACCGGAAAGAGCGATTCTTTCTCTAATTGATATCGGGCCTTCATCTGTTTGAAGCAAGACGCCAAATCCTTCATAGTTCTTAGCGCGACATGCCGCTATCTAAATGCGATGCGGCCAACTATCAAAGAGGCTTTCTCGAGCCATCCTCGCCTTATCTCAGTAAGCTTCAACTCTTCTTCCCAACCTCACCGATATGACAATGCTATCCATTTTATATTGATAGAATAGAATCGTTGTCAAAAATGTGTCCAGTTGTGGTCTTTCAAATTCCAATGCAAGCCCATCTCACCTGCTATAGCATTATAGGTCAAAGAGGGTAAGGTGGGAAATCAAGGAAAAATCACAGATGAGACGAATGAATTCCGATACTGGAAAACTGTCGTGATAGGAGAAGGATAACGCAGTCGCTCTTGGTGGTTTAGGTTTAGTAGGAGCATGGCTTAAGGAGCGAGTGAACTAGGTTTTGGTATTCCTTCTCGAGCTTCAATTTCTTCCGTTATAGGAGATTCGAGAAAAGATGGAATAGGAAGACGTGTTTCCAGAACAAACAAGATACGGGTTGAGAAGGGGAAGTTAGCAAAGTTAGACAAGATTGGAATGGGCATAGGAACATGTATTGATGTACCAGATCGGCTAATGCTCCCAGGTTGATGCGATGTATTCCACCAGTTGACTGAAGACTTTATTATTGGTATATCGATCGGTCCAGCACGAATTGAAATAGAAGCCGGTTCGACAGGAAGCTTTTGAAAACGCAGTGCACCCAGGTAAATAAGAAACGAGATGAATACAGAGGTCAAACGAGCATCCCACACCCAAAAGGTCCCCCACATTGGTCTTCCCCGAAACCCCCCAGTAACTAAGGTAAACAACGTAAAAAAAGCACCCATTTCTATACCGGTTCCGGAAGAGCGAAGATAAAGGGGATGTTTTGTTAATAGGAACAAGAAAGTGTTTATAGCCGTGGCGATATAAACAATAATACTCATCCGAGCCGCAGGAACATGTACATAGAGAATACGAGAATTTCCACCTTGTTGAAGATCTAGTGGTGCTACCCCAAGACTTAAATGAATAGCCATCGCTGTTAAGAACAACCAAGACCCAATGAGAATTTGCGCGTAGCTTCTGGTCTTTGACATCAAAAAAGAAGGTTGTAATAACGGAACGGACATGTCTCGAGGGGAGACAGACTCTAATGCGGCGAGTCACTCGTTCCCAGCCAAGAACTAGATATTTCTACTGGCTTGGGACAGGCTTCCTTGGCTCACTGCTTTCTTGGGTGATTCTCCCTTCTACTCCTCTTTCTTTCAACGAATCTGGTGCAATCATGCCCTAAATGTTCAAAGCTCAAACTCCCCTTCACTCTCGGGACAGCCTCCCTAATCCGTTATGGCGAGCGGTATCGTATAATAAGATCAAGGCTGGACATTCATGCTCAGAAGAAGCTCTTCGAGAGTACGCTATGGGACTTTCGCCATCTAATGCCCCTAGTCTTAGTGTGTGGGCGATTACTGGGTTTCCTCTTGTTGCAACAAGCGGTCTTGTCGTATCCGCTGTTTGATAGAAGACTGCTCTTGAAGAAGCTGTGGGAATAAGCACTCTTGTTTCTTTGAATCGTCTCATCCATGGCGAGTGCTATCGTATATAAGAAAACTGCTGCATTTAGGAGGGATCTGATCTGTTCATCTAACTCGAAATTTCAGAAGAAAAATCGTAGCGTAGAAAGTCTTGCTTACTATCTCCTCAATCTAAGTAAGAGGAGATTTAAGCTTCTAGGTAGTGGCCTAAGCGCGTTGAAGCTATTGGCCTAGATGCTTAACACATGCAAGTCTAACGAAGTGTTCCCGGAGTCTGTGTCACGCTCTTTAAACGCCCTAAGAGCGTAAATCATCGGTTCCAATCCGAATAAGGGCTTCTCTTTTTTTCGGTATGCCGCTCCGCGAACAAGGAGCGAAAGAAGCAAGTGGGCTGTGGTGATGTCAGAATTTGCACCTATTTGTATCTATTTAGTGATCAGTCCGCTAGTTTCTTTGATCCCACTCGGTCTTCCTTTTCCATTTGTTTCCAATAGTTCGACCTATCCAGAAAAATTGTCGGCCTACGAATGTGGTTTCGATCCTTCCGGCGATGCCAGAAGTCCTTTTGATATACGATTTTATCTTGTTTCAATTTTATTTATTATCCCTGATCCGGAAGTAACCTTTTCCTTTCCTTGGGCAGTACCTCCCAACAAGATTGATCCGTTTGGATTTTGGTCCATGATGGCCTTTTTATTGATTTTGACGATTGGATCTCTCTATGAATGGAAAAGGGGTGCTTCGGATCGGGAATAATAAATAGTGATAGGGCAAAAATAGGGGGGAAGGACAAAGGAAAGAGCGATGCCTACATTAAATCAATTGATTCGTCATGGTAGAGAAGAAAAACGGCGCACGGACCGTACTCGAGCTTCGAATCAATGTCCCCAGAAGCAAGGAGTATGCCCGCGTGTTTCAATGAGAACACCGAAAAAACCTAATTCAGCTCAACGTAAGATAGCCAAAGTACGGTTGAGCAATCGACATGATATATTTGCTCACATTCCAGGCGAAGGTCATAATTCGCAGGAACATTCTATGGTCTTAATAAGAGGAGGTAGAGTGAAAGATTCGCCAGGTGTGAAATCCCATTGTATTCGAGGAGTCAAGGATTTGCTGGGAATTCCGGATCGAAGAAGAGGAAGATCAAAATATGGTGCGGAAAAACCCAAATCGATATGAATGGAAGATGCCTCTGGAACTTGTTTTTCTCGGTCAGTCGAGGGAACAACCACAACGTTACGCCCCAAAATAGAACTATACGGAGCCCTTCCGAATGACCTATTCGACCCGGAAACAGCGCTTTTTGTTTTGCTTAAGAGAGGGGCCCTGGGGCCAAACTCAAACTTTCATCTTGGAG